TGCAAATATGGAGAGATTTTCTATACGTCTGAAGCTGCAGCTGTGGTGGCTTAAAAAGCCCCCTCAGGGGCTTCCCTGGTGGCGCAGTGGTTAAGAACCCGCCCGCCAATGCAGGGGACATGGGTTCGAGCCCTGGTCTGGGAAGATCCCACATGCTGCGGAGCAACTAAGCCCGTGCGCCACAACTACTGAGCCTGCGCTCTAGAGCCACAACTACTGAAGCCTGCATGCCCAGAGCCCGTGCTCCGCAACAAGAGAGGCCATCGCATTGAGAAGCCTGCGTACCGCAACAAAGAGTAGCCCCCGCTCGCCGCAACTAGAGAAAGCTCACGCACAGCAACGAAGACCTGATGCAGCCAAAAAAAAAAAAAAAAAAAGCCCCCTTGGCCCTGAGTACTGGGCCCAGGAAGGTCTCCACCCTATTTGTACCCCATCTCATGACACCCCCCTTCTTCTCGCTCCATTTCACTGATACTTGGGTTCCATGGTCGCCTGTCACGGTCGTTCCCACTCAGCAAACACCAATGCTGTCCTCGCTATTAAGAAACCCCCTCCCTGCCCTGGGCTCCCAGCTAATTTCTGTCCATTCCTAGACCTCAGCTTCCCTTGGTCCAGTCTAGACTGAGCAGACCTCACCTCACCCCTGACTAAAGTACACAGACAACGATCGAAATTACTTACTCGACAACATATGACGTCTGTCTCTTTAGACGAGATGCTCCACGAGGGTTAAGACCGACCTGTGCCTCACCTTCAGCAAGTGGCCTGCAGATGCCTACGGCCAACATTCCCATCTGTCGACAAGGTGTCCGGCACAGTTCTGTGCACTTTACGTGGGTTATCGCATTTTACACGCTTCTTAAGCCTTCGAGTGTGTGTTGACGAAGGCTTCTCTTCTGCTCTGCAAACGACCATCAGTCAGTAAAGATGTATGGACCCCTATGAAGTGCCAGGTGCTGTGCTCAACAAACAGGCTGTAACAGTAAACACGAGGCCCCACGCCTGTGCTGCGGAGCCCAGGCTGTTGGGAACACACCTGGATAGAGTGGGAGCCGTGCATCCAGGGACAAGGAGGAAATACGAGGTACCTGGCAAAATGCTTGTTTTAAAAATTGCACACAATTAACTTTTGGCGAAAAAAAGTAACTGGAAAATCTGTCATTCATCCAATCACTGTACAAGCAGCTGCTCACCATTGAGGGGTCGGGGCCGTGCCGGGAGGGCCTCAGGACACGCAGAGGAACGTAGCACACGCGGAGCACACCATGCGCACGGGCAGCTCGGGGCAGCGGCCACAGCAGCCTCGACGCCAGCCTGCTCCCCCTAAGGCGCCCCTCTTACCCCCCGACCCCCTGCAATGCTGCAGTTCAGATCCCCCGAGAACCTTCCCCGGGCCAGCAGCTGATCTTCACTCCGTTTCCTCCCATAGGAAGCAGAGAGAATGCCCCTTTCAAAGGTTAAATGGAAGCACCTCAGAAGCAAGCAATGCTCCAGAATATCAGTCGCTATGATAACCGAGACTGGATGCAGTCGAGATGCCTCTGTCTTCTGGGCAGGTTGCTTCCTGCTCTGGGAACGGCTTCTTCTTTCTAACTATACCAGTGCTTTCCCGACTCACTCGAGAATCCAACCTGAACTCTTGGCTACACAAGAATTGTGCAGAAATTTAAATGGAAATCAGAGCAGTATCTTCTGTTACCTAATAATGAAAATGCTAATTAAAAGCCCCACCCTTGGGCTTCCCTGGTGGCGCAGCGGTTGGTAGTCCGCCTGCCGATGCAGGGGACACGGGTTCGTGCCCCGGTCCGGGAAGATCCTACATGCCGCGGAGCGCCTGGGCCCGTGAGCCATGGCCGCTGGGCCTGCGCGTCCGGAGCCTGTGCTCCGCAGCCGGAGAGGCCACAGCAGTGAGGGGCCCGCGTACCGCAAAAACTTCCCCCCACTCCCCGCCAAATATTAAACATACAACACTGTTATAAATAAGCAAAAGTGTTTAGGGTTAAAAGTGTAATTTTATTTAGATGTTACTTGTACATAATCTATAGTAAGATATACAAACAGATAAAAATTGTTTACTAGGAGGGTTTTTTTTTTAATACCACTTTAAATTCAATGTACAACAGCATTGGTAATACTGCAAGATGACAGACTCTGGTTTAGAAAACAAAAATTACTTGCTACTGTCGCTGACACATTCCCATGAGTGTTCAATGGATGAAAATGTATCATGAATTTCAGCTGCAAATTATTACAAAACTTTCACAACCTAGCCACTTGGTGCTCAAAAAAGATTTCGATATTCTAAAAATTTACTGAAATGAAAATGCTAATTCTCCAACAGTGTACTTTCACTGAAGAAAAGCATAAGTGACCAAATCTTATGGTTTGGGGCCAACAACAGAAAATCAACCACATCATGGGTGGTTCTGAGGAATCTTCTCATCCCTCTGCCTGATCTATGACATGAGGAAAAGCCTGTAAGAAATTAAACTAAATACACACCGGGGGGAAACGGGACAATTTAAAATAACCTTACAACATACAACTACTTTAAAATGTAAAATCCATGGATATGAAGGATGCATGTACATGTTTTTCTCCATTTGTTTTGCAAATACTTTTCGAAAATGAGAATATGGACAATTCAAAACAGTCACTTCTTCCTTTTCATGTACTATCACATTAGAAAAAGTCTGGATTTCATTTTCAGAGTAAATCAAATGCGCTGAGAAAAATACTGCAAAAAAATAATCTAAACTGGATTTTAGTCCTCTCCCCTTCTTTTAAAGGCTACATGACACATGTAAGCAAAAGCTTTTTCACTAGTCAGAATATCAAGTTGAAAATAACTTGCTAATTAAACTACAGGAAAACAACCAATACTTAACAGGCTCATGAATATTTACGAATAAAGTGCCACTAATTTTATCGTAATAAGATATACATAGAAGAAATCCTGACATGGACAGTAGCTTTATGCATTCTCTCCATCCTGAGGACAGAAGGGCCATAAAAAAAAAAAAAAAAAAGAAGAAGCATTTACCAAATACAAGTTCTAGAATTGACACAGGTGATTCCTTATCCAAAGTAAAGCTAAAGACAAAATATTATAAGAAAAAGACAAAATACGATCAAAATTGGTAAAAGTCCCAAGGAAAATGCCAACACAGTTGGCCTCCACGTTGGGAAAAAAAAAAAAAAGGAGAGAAATTAAAGAGAGAAACTGAAAAGTTCATTAATAACTACTACTTACAGGCAATAAACGTATGGTGACGAGCTCCAAGACACAGAAACTCAATCAAGAACCACGTGCCCAGACAGCTGGCTTTCGCTGTAAAGACTCGGATAGCCTGGCCCGGGCACTGGGAAAGGTAATACAGACCTGAGGCTTTTCAGAGTTCCAGCCTAGGTGACTACAAGCCCGTCAGGCTGGCCTTGCAGGATGACCACGACCTTCCACAGGCCGCAAGTGTCCCTCGGGGACACAGACGTGACGGGGGGCCGGTGACGTCCTGAGGAGAACTCATTAACAAAACCCGGCAGTCGGGGTCCTGCTGGCATTCTACCGTCCACCCAAACACCTCTGTCTCAGCTACGGATTCCTGGGTCACAACTGAGAGCCACTAGGACCCACAGTCCGTTTGACACACGGTACAGACGAAAGCACTGCTCAGTGGGTAAAGTGTCTCGTACATCTGTGAAGTTATATCTGAGATCAAAGCCTGGGGTGTTTATTCCTTCCAAACAAGCAGTTACCCTTCACCCAGCATTACAGAATGTAAGCTCTCATTCATGAGTTTCCCAGGGGTTTGCCTTGGGCAGGAAAATCTGCCTGGGCTCGCGTGTCACCACGTGGGAAGGGACAAGGAAGGGACGTGACCTGCTCCAGCGAAGGGGCGACTCTCCTCTGAGGTACCTGGTCCAGCCTCGTGTGCTGACGACCATGTGGGAAAGGGACCGATGTGCTTCTAGGACAGAGCGAAGGCCCTACTCGTGCTGGGTCCCTAACTGGCCATAGCACCAGGAAAGGTGAAAAGCTACCCAAGTCTCCTTTCACCTAAACTGAAGCTGTCAGGATTCAGACCAGGTGGGGCGAGGTGCCACCTGGCCCCTCCTCTGCAGCACCGAGGCCTCCACATGGCCTCACTTAGCACATGGCTCCGGAAGAGAGGTTGTGCAGGGCTCTGCACCCGGGGCCACCCGGGGCCAGGCAGGCTGGCACCCGAGCTGCAAGGACTGCCAAGGCTTCTGCGTGCCATCGCAGATGGCAACGGCCCCGAAGGAGGGCTGTTCTCCGCTTTCATTGCTACTGCGCTGCTGAAACCCCTTACAAAACTCCTCAACAAGCACCGACTCCATGGATGCCCACAGGGGATCCTGCCTGCAAAGGGCCAAGTTCCCATTTCACAAGAGTGAGCAAAGGAAACGCAATTCTTCAACAGAACATTCCAACGCACAGAGGCTACCAGGCCGAGAGACTGAAAACAGAAACATCTAATTCTCCTACTTGTCAGATCTTTCTCTCTAGAACCAACTTCTTCTGAAACACATTAAAAAAAAAAAAAAAAAAGTGGAAACGATATCACTTACTGATGGGAAGACACCAGTCTGACGCACAGTCATTAATCTTGCAAAGACCAGACATCAGGCAGCTTCACAAACACACAGCGAGTCTGCAGGGTTTTAATGATCAAGGAGAGTGAACCCAAACTGCACTAAGTACTTTCATGGCCAGGAGAAAGGAAAGCGGAGGGCTGTTTTCAGGACAATGCAATAGTTACAGCTTATTTCCTCGTGTGCAGCGCGGTTTGCTATGTTTCGTGGCGCTTAAGTATTCCACAGTAAATACTGAAAAACCCAGAATTTTTGCATGTGCAAGAGCGATCTCACATTATCGATACAAAAGTCGCTAAGCTACGGGATTACAATACCACTATGTGGGCGCCGCGGCCACAGAGATCGGCAGCACACTCCCCAGCCTGGCGCCCTGGGCGCCAGCCTCAGTCGGACCAGTCGTTCTCGTCCAGCTCCGAGTCATCGTCCGAGTCGCTGTACTCGACGGCGATGCGGCGGGGCAGGATGGTGGCCACGTCGTTGCCCACAGGCTCGCGCTTGGCTTCCTGCTCCTGCAGTTCTTGCTGTACTCGACGGCGATGCGGCGGGACAGGATGGTGGCCACGTCGTTGCCCACAGGCTCGCGCTTGGCTTCCTGCTCCTGCAGTTCTTGCACCTTCTTCAGCTGAATTCCTGGACACATGGGACACGGCTTAGAATGACACCCCTCGGCGTGTACCGCTCCAATCATGCAGAACGGACGGGGAGGTCTACCCAGCTGCTGTTCTCCCTACTGACACTCTAAGAAAAAGCCTGAGAAATCTGAGGGGAGAAGCTTGGGAAACAGAGTTTCATGAGCAAGAAAAAAGGAACGTGTAAAGTCATAAGGTTCTTTACAGCGATGCGTTGAAATGTAAGAAAGTCAGTTACAATTTCAGTGCACACGAGCACCGTGAAAGAAAACTCCAGGACGGCACAGCCTGACCCGGCAGCCACCGGGCACGAGAGGCTGTTTCAAGGTAGATTTATTACGGTGGCCGGTGGCCCCCATAGTGGACCGTGTTCCTGGACAGCCTGGAACCCAAAGCCTTGGGAAACAGAGCCAAGAGCTTCTGGCTAAGCGGGCGAGGTAAGTGGGAAAAGCTTAACTTCAACAATTACCGATGAAAATGGGTGTGAGATCGCAATCATCTTACTCTCTTACTTTTGTAAGTAACGAAATGGGATATCTAACAATGTACTGTGTCATTTCCTTAACCTTTTCTTGCAGAGTAATTTCAGACCTATAAAGTAGCCGTAGGACTAGTAGAAAAACGTTCCCATATAACCTACTCAGATTCCCCAACCGATAACATCTGACCAAATTTATCCTCTATCACCCTCATTTACACACACACACACACATACTTTTTTTCTGGACCACTTGAGAGTTAAGTGGCATATAATGTCCCTTTGCCCCTAAAATGCTTCATGTGTCTTTGCTAAAAAAAAAAAATCGATCAAAATCAGACTATCAGCAGAGATACAATAGTACCATCTATTCTATGAATTTTATTTAAATTTTGCAAATAGACCTAACATAACAAACGAAAAAGGTTTTCCACTAGGTTTGGGATCCGCCATGGGATCTCACCTGTTACATTACCTGCCGCGTTTCATTAACCTCCCTTAATCTCCGTGTTCTACGACCTTCATGTTTTTGTAGGACGTCCCTCGATGTGGGCCCCTCAGAGGTTTCCTCTGACAGATCCAGGTTACGGATCCCTCTCATTGGACAAGGCTCACAGGTGTCAAAAAGCAAAACACTCTCCTACCAGGACCCCAAACGCGTGATCAGTGAGGTATTCTGACTCCGGGACTTTTTTCTTGACAAAATCGTCAGTAACGTCAATGCATACAAGAGCTCCCCGCCCTGATCTGACCAGAGACGCTCCACTTCTTAAGCTTTTATGCTCTGGGGTTTGGTGTAGGACCTTCACCTGACAAGGCTTTTGCTACTTAAATAAATGTTGAAAATCTACTGGCTTAGCACATCAAACTAAAAATATGAAAAGGCTAAGTAAGTTACATCCTAGGTTTCTAAAAAAGCCAAATCACTGACATGAGCTCATTTTCTTTCATTTATACTTTGGCCCTTAGAGTAGAACGCAGAGAAAAAAAATCCAACTAATTAATGATCATTTTTATTATGTTTCTGCTCAAGTAAAGCTTTCCTGAATTCAGTGCTTTATCACTGAGCTTACTTTGCACTGAAAAAAAAAATGTGTCCACTATTAAGAAAAAAGAAAACCAAACAAGGCTCCTTTGACCCTCTTCTACCGGTCCTCTGGGGCAGAGGGGGTCCCTGGAAGCAGACGAGGCTGCAGCCGCCGGGACAGGGGGCAGCGTCCCGGGACGCGCACTCACCCATCCGAATGGCAGCGAGGAGGTCGCTCCGGGCGTCGCTCACGGGCGGCTGCGCAGCCTCCGGCCTCTTTGCCTCGGCTCCCGGCAGGCCGTGCATCGGGGAGGGGGAGAGCGAAGAGCCGGCACCCGGAGGGCCCGGCGGCGGCGGCGGGGGGCCCGGGGGGGGCGGGGCCGTGACCACCAGCCCACCGGAGGGAGGGTGGGAAGGACCCGCGTAGGAGGGGCCGGCGGACGCTGGGAAGGGGGCCTGCGTGGGCATCTGGAGGGGGCTGACGAAGGCAGTCTGTGCGGAAGGGATCATGGGCGGGGGCGGCGGCGGCGGGGGTCCTGAGGGGTTGTAATACTCCATGATCTGTGCCGGGAGCATCCTGGCGGAGACACGAAACAAGAGTCACCAAAGAGCAACCCAGGGTCCCAACCTCGGAGGTTCCCGCACGCCTCGGAGAGGGGCCTCCCTGGACAAGACGCACACTGGCAGCTGAATTTACAACACTGCAGGACACGAACATCCACGCTTTGGATCACAGGTCCACATAAATCCCTAAGTCGGAATTCAAGATCATCTACTGACGTGCACCAGAAAGTTAACCACTGAAAACGTAACTTTCTGTGGAACACTGGAATAGCTGACTGCAGAGGTAAGAAGGCAGCACAAATGCATCCTTTGCACGAGGCATCTCAGAAGTGGTGGCTTGAAAACCCATCTTACAAGGGTTCTGTGGCCAATCAGATTGGAAAATTCTGTATTTTATATCGCATTTCCATGGAAATTCCCCAAGCCCATGACGCCCATCAGAATATCCAAAGCTTTGAAAACCCCTCCAGCCAAGAAATCTGCTGAGTTCTGTTTAGCCAAGAGCTTTCCAAACCAACTGGACCGCAAACCCTCTCTGCCTGATACTTGGTAAGAGCCACAGAACACACTCTGGGGATCCTGACTTAAAGAGAACCAGCCACAGGGAGAAAACCTCGGGGAGCTGAGGGACATACATTCAGAATGTGACCCACGCTGCTCTGGAGTGAAGAAAAACACTATTGATGGAAACACATTTTCAACTTCCCTGGGCGCTGACTTGGAGGGGCTAACTCTTTAAAGACTGAGGTTGTGCGAAAACTACAGCCTATCAAAAGACAGGCAGGGGCTTCAATTAACAAACGCTAAACAGGAGGGTCTTTGTTTAGGTGGTGTTCGAATTTTTGCCAAACGACAGAAAACAAGAGGACCTGGTGGCAGAAGAGTATTTGGGTACCAAGAGGCCCGGGTTACATGTACAAGTGTAGCAAGTGCTGCACTGTATAGCTTTCTCCTTTGAGATACGAGTTCTCTGCGGTTCGCCCGGCATATCAGAGAAACACTGGAGCATCTGGGACAGGCTCACAAAACTGGCAGCTCGTCCTTTGTCAATGCCTTGGCTCAGTCATTCAGACATAAAGGGAACGTGTGTTTGCGAATACAGACACCAACCTGAGGTTTATCTGTAATAAAAAGGGGGAGCAGCATATGACACTGCATTTTTTCACACAGGATTTCTCACGACTGACAGTATCCGTATCCGGTCATTCTTGGCTGCATCCTGGCCTCCACAGTGTGATTATTCAGTGAAAATTCTTCCACCACGCACAGCAAGCCCCCAGTGCAATGGCAAGCCACGGTCAGAGCCCGGGAGTGGGGAATTACCCGTAGTCGGCGGGAGCCAGGGGCGCGGGGGCCTGCGACGCCTCTGTGGCCTGCGGCGGGGGCGGAGGCGGCTTCTGGGGCCGGTTCAGGGCCAGGTGCCTGGCTGAGGCCGACGGGGGCCGGAACTCGTGCTCGGGGGCCTGGGCTGCCGGCCCGCGTGGCGGTGCATCACCCGCTCCGTGGGAAGGCGTCCCGGGCTGCGGGTGCAGAGAATGGTTGGGGGTGGCAGGATACGAGTAATCCGTGACGTCCGACGCGTGGGACCTGACGGCCAGAACCAGGGGTGGGGGAAAACGACGTAAGTGAAAAAGATTTCCCCTCCCAGGCATCAGCATGTATTTGAATAATAACACGGCCAAGGCACAGAAATCACACGCTTATTCCCTTTCCCATCAACTAGGTCTAGGCCCACAAGCGACAATGTAATCACGACTTTAGAAGCAAGCGCCAGGGTTACACGGATTCAGAGCTGCAGCTTTGAAGTGAGTGCATCAGACGGACGGGCAAGCGGCAGACAGCAGAGCCCCCTTCCTCAACATCGCAGCCGACTCTTTTCTAAGAGAGGCTGCAAGACACACTGTGCTTAACTTGAAAATGGCATCGGAGACCTAAGATTTTAGTGCAATGAAACTGACGGCATATGATGAGACCTTATCAAATGGCAGACGAACCGGATACATATTAACAGTAAGAACAGAAAAAGAAATCAAGGATGCAATACGGTGAGTCGCAGTTTTCTTAAACAGAAGAAACATATTTAGCCAAAAACGAGAGGAGGAGTGCGGTGCCATGCGCAGAGGCCCTCTTGCTGTCTCTGAACGCACGGGTGGGAGGGAAACTCTGAAAGGAATGCACGTCTCGTTTTAGTCAGCAGGGTTCATAAGGATGCTGGTACCCGGCCGCTGGGGCAGGGGAGGGCTCGGCAACGCCACAGGGTGTTAGTCACCCGGGTTACGGGATGCGTGGTCAGTACAGGGGGCACATCCTCTCGCGACGCCGAAGCAGGGGGCTGCTGAGGCTGCGATCCAAGAACAGGCGGAGCGACAAACCCTCTGGGCGTCCTGTCGTCTCCCGAGCTCCCTGCCTGCTGCAGTTTCCTGGCGTCACTCACAAACTCAACGCCCATCTTCCTTCTCTCCCACTGTTCTCTTCTGGTTCTTACTTTTCTCACACTTACTTGCTGGTTTCTGTTAGGATTCAGCTTGTGTCTCTCCCTCTGAAGGAAAGAGGCAAACACACATTGGGTCTTTGGAATTCAGACAGCAGCGTCCTTGGAGTATCACACCACACAGAAAAGCTCTTTAAATGGCAAAAGATTGCTGGCTTTTTCTTTTTCCTTCCCTAATTGCAATATAATAATAACTTGTAACTCACTTTCTTCTCCCCTAAGTGCACTATAAATTCTAGATTACAGTGTGCGTATGACTGTCTTTTGAACTATGGCAACTTCTTGCTGGTGAGAGAGTTAAAAATATTTTCAACGGGGGAAGACTCTGACTGTATTTAGATTTACCTTATTTTAAAAACGTAAAGACCTAAAACTCTGGAGTCCTTGACGATGGGTGCTTGGCTCTGTCAGGGGGGCTACGTCATAGACTGGGCATAACTTTCTAAGGGAAACGGACTTATCTACAAAACACGGAGTGCTTCTGAGGGGATGAGAAGCCAGGAACTGGGAATATTCTGGCACAATTTGGAAAGCTGTCCTGCAAAGCAGCTTGGTGATAAAGGGCCGAAAGGAGGCAATACACACGGCATAATCGGATGGAGGAAAGGAACGGGCGGTGAATGTCCGACATCAAGACTTACAGCAGGAGAGCGGGAAGGACAGGGCTCCGACGAAGGGTGGGTGGGAGACGGGACCGGTCACTCGAGGGGTCACTGCCCAAGTACAGGGGACACCGGTGGGCTGGAGGAGAGGTGAGGAGGGGGGTGACCTCTGAGAGACAAGGACCCCTACAGGAAGGCAGAAATCAGCCACAGAAGACATGGCACTAGTGTGGGCACGAGCGGGTGGTCCTGAAGCTGCATGAGCATCAGGAATTATCTGTTACGGGAAAGAGAACTTGGAGGAGTGAAGACAAGATGGAAACAGGAGGAAGTAGGTGTAAGCAGTGGAGACCCAGTGGGAGAATCAAACGAATCCCGCAGGGTTCTGTGGGTGGGAGGGTGGGCAGAGTCGGGCATCTGCAGCACCCAGGACAGGAGGAGGAAAGGGGCGAGGACGGTGGGCAAGGAGGCATCCTGCTTCCGGATCGCTGGGGAGAGCAGTGGGCAGGCACTGCATCAAGTCTCATCCTAAATGTACGCTTAGAATCAAACCATTCCTGACCATCTACAAAGAGAGTAAAAACTTATCATCAGTTTATGTGATCAGCTTAAAATATGTAAGTTACATGAACAACTTATACACATACCATGACACTTGATACTCAAATTTCCCTGTTATCCTGAATACATCCATTAAAAACCAAGTTTCTAAATAATACTTAAAACATGAATACAAGAAGTTAAAAAATCAAAAGATAGAAAACAGAGCAGGATTTCACTTTTGTAAAAGAAAAATATACACATTTACAGAAAAAAGACCAAAGAAAAAAATACACTAAAATGCAAAAAAAGTGGTTTCTTTGGATAACAGGATTATGAATACTTTAATTTTTTCTATAATTTCCAAATATGGAAAGTTTATCTTATTTCATAATAAGAAAAATAGTGATATACTTTAGTCAAATAAAAAATAAAAATTTCCAAAATAATTTAAGGGATATCATCCATCAATTGTACACCCAGTATGGCACAATCTAATCTCAGATTCTAGAATAAATATCAGTTATTCAACTGAGGGATTTAAAAAAAGTCATTTTCCATCTATCTACTGAAATGAAAGAGAATATATGGAGAATTACAAAGTACATGTTTTGCATGAGTCAACAGTCACAACTAAGTTAGCTGGAAAAAAACAAAACCCAAATGGCCCTCCTGGGAGCTATATCAAGTTCAAGCACTTCTCTCGCCCAAAGAACTATGGGCACAAGTGTATCATCATTCTTACTTTCCACAGAAATAAACTGACATAAAGATGAAAACTTGAGGCCAGAGCTCAGTTAAAGCTCCAAGAATTCTCTAAGAGCTCACCGATCACAGCTTGTACAGAAAAATGACCTAGACCTGCCTCATAGACAATGACTGACAGCCCTTGTGGGGTAGGAGTATTTATGGGGCTGTAACCACCAAATATTAAAAGCATCTGTGTCAGTCTGTGCTAAACACTGAGGTTAATAAAGATAAACATAAAAAAAAAAAACAAAACAAAACCCAGATCTAACGCAAGGTCCAGGTTGTTGCTGTTTGTGAAACATCCTTGAATCACGTTTAAGAATTCTCTATTCACATTTTTAAACACTGACGGAAGACTCCAACTTTACAGAAGCAGAAATAGGAAATTAACCGTAAGTTACAATTGACTGCTCAGCTCTCCTTCAGTGAAGCCCTTTTGGGATAGATGCTGCTTAAAAGATGCTCACATCTTTCACGTCTGCAAGAGAGATTTTTACTTAATTGCTAACAAATTTTTCAAGTAAACTTCAACAGAATTCTCCCCCTGCAATTAGAGTACATAAGATTAGCGAACTGAAGGGAAAAAAATCTTTGTTCATCACTTTTAGAAAAGGTTATCAAAAAAAACAACAGCTATTCCTTGATCACATCAGCTACCACCTACCAATCAATCGGTTCAGATACCAAGTGGCAAAGGAAATGCAACATTCTAAGCAAAAGAGGCGGAGAGAGAATTAAATGATTATTAAAATTAAAAGGGTCAGTCATAGGCAGTTACTATGCCCAAATTCAGAATCAATGTTAAAACAGTACATCTAGGTTAATGGAATGCTCAAGTTAAATCAGAGAGACAGAAAATCACACAAAGTAACCCGACGTCATAGAAAACTGCTGTAAACTATTATTTCGAAGTCAAAACATATATACCGTTCATTTTTAAGGAAAGTTTGGAAACACACTGTGGGCCACAGAAGCACAATGCTATCGTGCATTTCCATTTACAGGGAAGCCAAGGCCGGCTTGCACACACACATGCACACGAACACGCACACGCACACACACCTAGTGTCTGGGGACAGGGATCCCTCGGAAGATGCTCCGTGGTGTACGCTCTGCGACAACCTGGTGTCGGGTCTAAGCTCTTTGTCATACGCCATCATATTCCATTCCTGGCGCCTGTTTCTGGCTTTTCTAACCTTTTTCACCTCCCGGGTTGTGCCATCTATACGCTTTTGCTCCTGACGTCCGGGAAGGAAGGCAAGCGTGCCGAGACAGAGGGAAGGAAAAAAGCAGGTTAGTGCAGTGGCCCCGGCAGGCACGAGCCCGGCGTGCAGACAAGGCAGGCCCGTCTCCATCACTCCCGGGTCAAGAACGTTCTAACACGCTTACCCAACTCAGACCCAACCAAAATAACACATACCTAACGACTTAACATCGACACATCAAAGTTACTGTGCTGCAACTTCAGGAGTCGCTTATCATCATTTTTGGTCAAGAATTCTCACTTCACTAGGATTTAGCTCGTTTTCAATGTACGACACCTTTTAGATCTCTATTATACACATGAAATACCTGCCCGCACCAGACAGAGAAATCGTTTCCCACCCCTACACCATTCTGACTTGTTAACGTGCAATCATCTTGCAAAACATAATTTTAAATGCTCCATTTCAGTTTGAAAAGGCTATTCCAGAATATTTAAGCGAACCCTGCAACTAGCTTAACAAAAACAAAAACAAGATCAGAACTTACCTTCCCTCCTGTACAAAGAATCATTCCTGC